GCTCTATCTATCTATCTTTTCATTAACAATTTCTCTAAATGTTTTTTCTATATTTTATCCCTGTAATGTACAATGGTTTCCCCCTCCCCTCTCCAGATTTGTGAGTACATGTCAGCGGGCGGCATTAAGAGTTTTGATGACGTACAACGCGTGCCATACCTGGTGTACGGCGACCAGTGGGTGGGCTTTGAGGATGAGCAGAGTGTGGAAGAAAAGGTGATAAAGTTAACGCTGTTTTCCTGTTTAACTCTTCATACCCCCCCCCCTCAACACGGTCTTTCTGTCTTTGTGTCTGTCTGTCTTTATGTCTAATTCTCTGTCTCTCCCCCCCCCCCTCTCTCTATCCCTCTCTTAACCATTTTAAATCTCTGGCACTCTGACTGTCTGTCTGTCTACCCATCCGTCTCTCTCTATCTCTTTATCTCTCTATCTCTCTGTCACTCTGCCTGCCTCTCTCTCTCTCTCTCTCTCTCTCTCTCTCTCTCTCTCTCTCTCTCTGTCTTTCTCTTTCTCTCTAGTAATTGCCCCCCCTATCAGAACTTCTCTTAGGATTCCGACGATTTAATTACTATTTCAATCCTCAAGACATCGCTTGAGAAAGTAAAATATAGTACTTCACAGTCACGTTGTCAACTAGCTCTAAGCTTCTGAGACATTTGTTCCTGAATATACAAGTATAGTTTTTCTCTCCCCAATATTGAGGATCTTTAGACATTTTCAACTGCGACCTTTCTATCACATCACGTACATTTGCATAAATTACAATGCTGTATACACGAAAAAAAACCACTTTTGAATATTGGTATTACTACATGAATTGGATATTCTTGCATAGATTTAGTAATATTTCTGATATTCTTTGCAAGTGAAACAACCAAAATGTTTCTATATAAATCAACAAGTAGATTCCAGATAGTATATTTAGTTACTGATCGATTGATTGGTTGATTGATTGATTGATTGATTGATTGATTGATTGGTTGGTTAATTGATTGATTGATTGGTTTATTTATTTTATTTTTTAAAATTGATGTAGATTCCAGTGTGTTTTTTTGTTTATCTATTCATTTATTTATTTATTTATTTATTTAAAACGAACAGGTACGTTATGCAGTGTCAAAGAATCTGGGAGGCGTCATGATGTGGTCGCTGGACCTGGACGATTTCAAGGGAGACTACTGTAACAAAGGTCCACACCCTCTACTCACTTCAATATCTGACACGGTTGCTTCTCTTTTCAATGTCACTTTCCCGGAGCCAATCGAAGATGGGTACTTGGAACTGGATGCGGAGTTGTCTTTGGCTGAAAGTGCAGATTTGGAAGGCGATAAGATTTTAGATCCGTCAGTGTTTTCCAAAGCTAACGTCAAAAGTGTTGGTCTATCACATTTGAGAGATGAGATGCCCTCGGAGGTGACAAGCCTACGTACAACTCTCGAAAAGCCCTCTCAATTTGAGAACATTGTAGAAAAGCTTCGAGGAACCGAAACAGAAAACAGTGCTAGGTCCTTATCTTCACATAGAGGCGATTCCATAGCTCAGAAGCCCATAACAATTAAAGAAGAAATACTCACCCCCGACTCATCAACTGGAACCGACTACAATTTTCGTATCGACTACAAAAATTCTGTTTTTGATGATAAGGATGACGTGGATACAGATCCGATGCAGAACATAATAGAAACGTCTGTGTTAGAAAATCTTGTAGAATCGGATACTTACAACGATTACTATTACTACATCGCTTTCCGGAGGGATTTTACCACTAGTGGTGGGGGCCCTTCGGAAGACAGAACAGAAGGAAACAAGATAGACAGACAGATGGAGGAAAGGATGCGAGCAACTACAGCAGAAAATGTGTTGCGTCCTGATCCCAATTTGTATCAGGACATCTTCTTTCCCGGGAATGGCTGCACTCTCCTCAGCTTTAACAGGATGTTTCTAGTCCTCAGCGTAATTGTTCTGATGATATATCTCTGATGGTTTTGGGGTACACTTGACGAGAATTTGATGTGCAGAGATAGCGGTACTGTTTTTGTTTTGTTTTTTAAGTTTAAAAAACCACAAAACAAACATGAAGTGATGGATGAAATCATGTAGATCTGTTGCAAAGATAGACAAAGACAGTGAGAGAACCAGGAAGAGGAAAAGTAAGGGAGAGAGAATAATGGAAAAAAGCGTGTGTGTGTGTGTGTGTGTGTGTGTGTGTGTGTGTGTGTGTAAGAGAGAGAAAGAGAGAGAGAGAGAGAGAGAGAGAGAGAGAGAGGAGAGGAGAGAGAGAGAAAACGAATAAGGAAGAAAGGGTGAGAGACAGAGAGAGAGGGGGAGAGACGGAGAGAGAGGGGGAACGGGTGAGACTGAGAGAGAATGGGGAGACAGAGAGAAAGAGAGAGAAAGAGAGAGAGAGAAAGAGAGAAAGAAAGAAAGAAAAGAAAAAAAGGAGAGAGAGTGTGTGTGTGTGTGCGTGTGCGTGAGTGTGTGTGTGTGTGTGTGTGTGTGT